GGGTAGGCCACTGGATTCTCTGCGCGTCGGGGGGCTAGGCCACATGTTGTTCTTCCCCTGCGCGGCGAGGGGGTAGGCCACTGGTGTTGCCTTTGCGCGGCGAGGGAGTAGGCCACTGTAGCGGCTGCGCGTAGCGGCGGCCCACGGGGGCCCGTCGGGCGGCCCTAGTGCATCAAGCGGAGTTAATATTTGCTGACTCCCCCTCGGTGGTGCGCTCTCTTGTTCCCCCGTCATCATTACCGCCAACCATCATCACCATCATCATCATCAGCAGCAGCATCAGCAGCAGCATCTGCATCATCATCAGCAGCAGAAGCAGCAGCAGCAGCATCCTACTCCTCCTCGCCATCATCCTCAGCATTATCATCAACAGCAGCAGCATCCGCATCATCGCCATCATCATCAACATCATCATCAGCAGCATCATCAGGAGCAGCATGATCAGCATCATCACCATTAACATCAGAATCGTCGTCATCATCATCGTCATCACCGTTGTCGCCGTCCTCGTCGTCATCATTATCATCAACAACAACAGTACCATCACCTATATCATAAGCATCAGCATCAGAATTAGCATTAGCATCATCATCAGCAGCATGATCAACATCATCATCAGCATCATCAGCAGCATCAGCCTCAGCATCCTCATCCCCATCCTCTACCTCATCATCATCCTCATCCTCCCCCTCCTCCTCATCCTCCTCCATCACTCACATCGCGCGCCGCCGCCCTCGTCCATCACCTCCGCTTCCATCCCATCCACGCCCGTACTTCCCCCCTCCCTCAGCATCGCGGGCCGCCGCCCTCATCCATCACCCCCGCTTCCGTCCCCTTCTCGTACCACCCACTCATTTTTTACACGCTGGCCATAGCTGCCAATTCTTTTAAGAACGGCACGCGCGGACGGCCTGCGGCGCGACCTCGGCCCCCAAGCCGCCCCGGGGCCCCCTCGGGCCCTGGAACGGCTCGGGGCTCGCCGTCGCCCTGCAGCTCCCGCTGCTCCCTACAGCTCTTTGGCAGACGCTTTGGCTCCCGGGTGGAGCGCGTACAATGGGGCGGCAAACGGCAGCGTCGGGCAACGGAGGCGATAAATCAAAAGCCTCCCGGGGTAAACGGCCACCGCCGGCGCCGCCAGCGCTCAGCAGCAGCCCTTCTTCTTCCCGGACTTGGTCTTGACCTTCTTGCTCCCGTCCTTGCTCTTCTTCTCCTTCTTGGACTTCTTCTTCGCGCCCACCGCGTCGGCGGCGGCGTCGACCGCCGCCGTGGCCGCCTCCACGACGGGCGCCGCCGCCCCGCCCATGGCCGCGGCGTCCGCGTGGATCTCCTCCTCAGTCACGGGATGACCGGCCATGAGCTTCTGGAACATCTCCGGGGAGATGTTCATGCGCTGCGGCTCCGCGGGCGCCGCGTACATCATCTCCTGCTGGGGCTCCATGGGCACGCCGGCCGACATCGCTCAGGCGTGGGCGGCCTTTCTGCGGAGAGGCGGGGGGGCAGCGAAAAGGCACCCAGGGGGCGGCCAACGGAGCCACGACGGCTCGGGCGAACGAACGGCTTGAGCAAAAATGGCTACGGATTCTCGTACCGCCAACTCATGGCAAGTTCGTGTCGTGACGGCCTGCTCGGCGGTCTCTGACACCACGTCGACCGTTCAACCGTGAGCGATCGCAGCTTCCCGATATCAGCTCGTTTTGGGCCGCTGGCAACGTTCAACCCTGAACGGCCGCGCTGGGACCTCCCCCTCCCCCAGCATCGCTTGACATGCCTATCCTCCTCCTTCCCAAGCATCGCTTGAGGAGGAGGAGGACGACAAGGAGGAGGAGGAGGAGAAGAAGAAGGAGGAGGAGGAGGAGGAGGAAGGAGGAGGAGGAGGAGGAGCAGCAAGAGGTTGAGGATAAGTGCGCGGCTTCCATCCCCTCTTCCCCTCCCTTAACGAGAGAACGGCGCCCACGCACAGCACCATGTTTGAACCCCCTGTCAGAGGCCCACTCAAGCACGGTTCGGTGCACAGTGTTCCGGCTCGGGAGAGGTCACTGCACCGGCCTTGCAGACGTGCTCCCGCGGGTTTGCGCGTGGATTTCTGTCAATGCTAAACCCCGAAACTTCGAGCGAGAAACGAGGTGAGTTTTACGTGGACTTCTTGTAGTCTTCATTCCTGACCAAGAAGATCCCCGCGAAATTCACTGCGAAATCCGGAGCGAAATTCTCCAGGACACTCTGGGCCCATCCAAACGAAATTCTCCAGGACACTCTGGGCCCATCCTGTTGTTTCCCCACCGAGATCCGCTCCGCGATGCTGGCGCCATGAGAGAGGCTGAAAAACCGTGCGCCGCAGCATTGCTGGGCCGAGGCTCGACGACGCCTCGCCAGACGCCAAGGCGGCACGACGCACGCACCGAGTCCGCGGATCCCTCCCGGAACCCTCCGGGGACGCCCCTTCTGAGCCTCTGGACGCCTCCGAGGGCCCTCCGACGACTGCCACCGAGGGGCCTCCCAT